TCTGCCCCTCCCCATCTATTGTTTCATTACTACTATAAATAGTTAGCACTTTTTAATATCGAATAATTTGTCTACTTACGTCATTTGGGGGCGGGGCATTATGTTGTGCATATACTTTATATAAATATATATATATATATATATATATATATATATATATATATATATGTCATTGATAGACGCTTAACCACTTCATGCAACAAATTTGCTAAAGCGATTTTGTCAAATTGTGAGCGCATCCACCTCCCCTGAAGCTAGGTTCGACTCCAACCAATGTCATCGGTCGGAAATCCCCATCCTCACACTTTGACTGGATGGACCTCGCTGGTCATGACTTCTCACCAGAACTCCAGGAAACTCCGTCCTGTAGCTAGCAGTCACTAGTGAGCATCAGATTGATTTTCTATAGTTTGGTTTGTAAAGATTAGTTTAATTTTTACGATTTAATTACGATTTGATATCAGTTAGAGAACCATTGAAAACCAGTCACAGGGCGTACTGGAGAGCTGTTTGGGAATCGTAGTTTGTGAATCATCGGCATTACGCACCCACGAACACCGAGGTTCGAAGCTAGCACTTTCGGGTTACAAGGCATGGTCGTATACCATTCAGCCACTGGGACCCAATGCAATGGCTCAGGATAAGTGGTCTATAATAAATTATGGCTTAACCATTATCACTACACCACTATAACTTGGTGAAAACACAAATACCGATTAAAAGCAGAGCTGTTGTTTTTTAATCACTATAATTCACGCTCCACTGAAAGATGAAGTCCCTAGGCTAGTCACTTCAAATTTTATATATATATATATATATATATATATATATATATATATATTCAGTTAATGAATAGAAAGTTATGTCTTCAAGAAAAGCCAATTTAAATGTTTTTTTGTAGCGACTGGAGCGCTGTTTCGTCCAAGTGCTTGGGACTCTTATTCAGCAGTACGCACCTACCAAAAGGGGTCGAATCCAGGACATTCTGGTTACGAGGCCACCGAGCAAGTAGACCATTGAGCCACTGGAACCCAATCCAATGGCCGTCCCATAAATTCCAACTTCTGCCAATTCATGACATAGCGCGACCACTAGCCAATATCTTCTTTGATGAGTTACCACCCTACCTCCAACCTGCTGCACTCTACTGGTCACGGCTTCCCACTAGAATCCCAGGTTAACTGCCTGAATAGGGCTAGTCGCTAGTGAGCATCAGATTAATTTTCAAGTATTGATCTAAGAGCTCGGTGGCCTTGTAACCAGAAGGTAAGGGGTTCAAACCCAGTCTGTAGGTGCGTACTGCTGAATAAGAGCCCCGAACTGGTGTGACGAAACAGCTGTCTAGTACTCCCAGTTGGTTTTCCAATGGTTCTCTAACTGATGTTGGCTCATGATTCTCCAAAGCTCCAATCAAAAGCTAATTCAACCAGTTTACAATCGTGCGTAGGGAATAGAGAAATACACACGATAGTTCTCTAAGTAAACATGTGACAATCAAAAACATATTCTTAATAGCATCTCGATTTAATGGTAAAATGTTAATTACACATACGTATTGTTATGAGAGAGAGAGAGAGTATAACAAATAGGTACTTAACTTGGAACTTAAACTCAAAGGTAGCTTTCATCCTTACTATTGAGTGTAATGAGAACTTTACAACTTAACTTTCAATTACATCACAAGCTGTGGAGGTTATTTACACGCCCACATGTGCATGCAATTAAAGATTGCAGTAGAGACTTTAACAAGTTTCAAATGATAAGTTGCATGAAAATTATACTTTAGTGTTTATGACGAAAACAAAAGGTGTATAATAGGAAAGCAAAATAAATTCATAAACATGTAAAATAGACGCAAATAGACGCAACCACCAGTTATATAAGATGGCTGAACTACTAATAATGAACAATAGATTAGACTAGGATGGAAACCTACATACACACACACGCACACATACATACATATTAACATAAACAGGTGGAGAGAGAGAGATAGAAGAAAAGGCATATTCTACGATAGTGTTAGTGTCAGATAAAAAGAATCAGATTTTAGTATACAATTGGTGGATGGTGGCTAGCAGTGGAATCCAGGATGCGCATTTCGTCCTATTTGGGACTCGTCATCTGGATGTACCTGCATTTCTCAGTGAGTGATGGTGTTCCCACTGAGGCTCGAACCCAGTGCCCATAGTTTCAAACGCCAAAGCGTTATCCACTAGACCATTTGGGCCACGACGGGAAAATCAAAAATTCAATTCAAGAATCAGATTTTTCTTATACATTAGATTGAGTCACATCCATTGCGTGAGAATTAATAATACTTACCACCTAGCTGTGCTGCTCAAACCTCACTTGGTGGAGCAGGGCTTACACCAAGAGTTATAGCTCCTATTTTAAATAAAAACTACTTCTTGTTAACGCTGAACTATAACTGTACTATGGGAACAAACAAAACAAGATTTAATCGCCCAACATATATGCAAGACAAAGTGGATTGAGATGGATTGGACACTCACTCGCTGAGGAGGTCACTGGGTGACATCGTGCGAGCATCAGGCCATTGCTCGAGTGGAAACAGGCCGAAAGGGAAGCGGCGAGTTTGTCGTCAGTGCAAGGGTGATATGGAGGAGATTGTGTGAATAGGAGGAGGAGTTGAAAGAGTATGGACTGTTTCACTCCTATATTTGTCAAACTCTATTAATTCTCTCCACTCATCTTCTTGTCTACCTCTGTGTGCTATTTGGAACGTGGCAACTCGAACTGCTGCACTTCGGTGCCAAGTTCTATGTTGAATCCAGACAGACAGACAGATGGACTGACATGGATTCAGGTGAAAAGTACAGCAGGAGACAGAAGTGGCAAGTGGAGACGTGCAGTTGAAGCCCTAAGGGAATAATAATAATATAACTGTACGGGACCAATTACACAGGAAAATCATATATTTCGACAACTTTGAACCGATTCTATCTCTGATATCTATCTATGGTTGACATGTGCTGCAATAGTCTTTGTTCGGATAGTATCAACAAGTGTGATTAATTTTTTTTTTTGATTTTTTTATTACAGCTTGATTCCGCGTCGGCAGGAAGTCGAACCTCGGACCATGTGCATGGCTGGCGAGAGTCCTAACCACTGTGCCACCGACGCACACATGAAGGGAGAACCGTGAGGCCTCCCCACCGATAAAAACTACACGCCAGAGCGCACCTGATTAGGGTCCGTCGCGAGTTTCAACCCACCGAGGTGCAATGGTGAGCCTCCACCCGGGGTCAGAACATTCTTGACCACCCTGAACCCTGAACCAGCGACTTTTCATTGTGTATAGTGGAATGAGCGGTTCTGCGGTAGAATGTTCGCCAACCACATCACATGTGGACCAGGTTTCAAATCCTGACCAATGCATTCCTCAACCTCACAACCTAGTCGGCAGTAAGCCCCCAAAAGACGGTAAGTTGGGTATAGGGCTGGCAACTCCACCTCGTATAAACACAAACAACACCACTGCTACTGAAGTTTCCAAGCTCAAGCTTGAAGCCCTATGTTCCACTCGGGACACAAGGGTCAAAATAATAATACTATTGTGTATATAAACTGTTTAAATATTTTTTTATTTTTTAAAAATATTTTGATTATAGAGTGATTCCATACAGTATTTTTGGTACAAGTATAGAAATTTCAGCATGTGACATCGGTAGCCCAAATTTTGCAGGTCGACCATAGACATCAGGTGTTCCTCGGCTTGGAGGATCGAACTCCGGACCATGTGCATGGTCTGCAAGAGTTCTAACCGCTGTGCCACTGACGCACTAGAAGTGGTAAATTTACACGACTCTGTTGTAGGTAGACTCTACCACAATTAATCTGATTCAATATAGAATCACTTGCTAATAAAAAGTTGATGTAGATACTTAGAGTACCTGAAATCACCGAGATCAGTGCTCCGGCGTTTACATGGCGTGTAGCATCATAACAATCAACAACAATTTTTGTTTGTGAAGAATTCAGTCTGCACCCAACGAAATACTAGATGCAGCATGACATTGGTTACTACACAGTCACCAATGGAAGTATCCACTACAATCCTACATGAGGTCAGTTGCCAGCCCACCAAACACCTCAGTGGTAATATCTCTGAATACAGCAACGAGTGATATGGGTTTGAATTTCAGAAGGGACATAAGTTCCTTCAAGATTTCAGATGTATTATTTTCTGACTGGTGACTGCTGACAAGCATGACACACCTAGGCGGCGGCTCAGATAGGTCTGCCTACCGATCGCTTCCAAACATCAGTTCAGTGTGCACCAGGATGATGAATCAATTGGATAGAATTTAGTCTGCATCAGCCCAAGGACTACAGAGACAAATGACATTGATTACTAACTACCTAGTGACTATTCAAAGTATCAGTTCCTCCACAACTGCAGTTGGCAATGAGCCAAACCTTTTGTGTGTGTGTGTGTGTGTGTGTGTGTGAGGGTTAGTGATCCCCTACATAACCAACCCAACTTCAGTAGGTGGGACACGGTTCAAACACACTACCCACTCCGTTGGAAGCCTGGCGCCTAGATCAGTGAACAATAACTTCACATAGAAAACAATAGGTAGTAAGTAAGTAACAACAGATAAAATGTAGTCAGGATTAAGTAATAAACACGTGATCCCAAAGGCAATAGACAACTCTAGAAGTTACTGTAATTCCAAAATCAATAATTAAAAAAAAAGAAACATCAATAACAGAGAATCATTATGCATAATGAAATCACGCTCAAGCATATTCTAAAAACGCGCTTTCTTTTTTCCGGTTGTGACAGATTACACACCCCTGAGGCATCTTTTTTTATTGTCTGTGAATAGAAAAGGTGAGGACAGGTTGGAGACAGGGTTGGCAGAAAGACAATTTAAGACGAATCAAAAAAAGAAAGAAATAAAACAAACAAACAAAATGCAAAAAGAATTTTTCTCTTTCATCAGACCATACAAAAATTAAAGTAAACATACCAGCAGGTGTGCATTTAACTCCATTTATGCTCTTCCCTTGAACCATAGCCGGTAGATGTGCACTTAATTGAATTTCTAAATTGCGTAATTCTTTAGCTAACTGTTCAACAGTCCTCTCCAGTGTTATACAACGTTCTTGTTCTAAAACTAGTTGACGATTAAATCTAGCATAGGCTCCAGTTAGATATTGTAGAGCTTCAATACATGTCTATATCGGGGGGGGGGGGGGGAGAAAAAGGCAACAACAGAAGAATTAATTTACAGAGATAATAGAAATACAGTGAAATTACACTTTAACATGTATTTTATCACCAATGATATTCCTAATTGTGGCGGACTGACTGGATTATGCGTCAGAGAGTGGGAAACGAGAAGACAGGGATATCCTGAACCGACGTGAACAACCCAAAAACACCTGGATTTCGCGGGTGGATGATTTATGTTTAATGTCACACAAAATCGAAGACTTACATGCGAAAACCGACCGACAAACTGGTCGAAGACAGGACTCCAAGTGAACATAGACAAGACGGAGGTTATGAAAATAAACAACCAACAACAGCAGCAACATACAGCTCGATATTGCTCATCCTATTATACCACAGGTGAAAGAAACGCAGACACTTATGGTCAAAAACAGCTAGCCGCCCTTTTCGTGTCTCCCACTTTCAATAGCCATGTCTCACAGCCATCAAGGAGGACGGAGCTAACTACTGCTGAGCAGTACACATGACCTTCGGTCGCGACAGCCGGATATCACGTCTAGTAAACCAGAGATGGCGTAAGTTGACATATACTAAACAAGCCTTCTGTATCCATAGTGAGATTTCGTTAGTGATCGACCCGTCGGGTTTGGTGCAACTGTAGGGTTCGAACCCGGGAACTACAAGCCAAACTCGTAGATCATTCTCAACCATTGAGATTCGAATCAAGAAGCTAAGAGATCCAAATAATACAGGATTACGGATATAAGTGTGTGATCAGTAAGGAAGTTTTCCTATTATTAAATACCTGTGTGATCAGGATGGGTATAGAAGCAAAGACTGACATCACATCTTATTACTGAAGATGATAACATAGATATAGGAGGGGGGAGAGGAATAAATATTGACTAGATTTACAGTGGATGAAGAGCTTTTTCTATTTGTCTGTCTTCGACATAGAACTTTGCACATATGTGCACCAGTTCAAATCGCCACACTCCCTCAATGTAACACACAAAGCATGAGAAGAAAGTAGGATACATGCAAAATAGAGACAGCAGACAGAGATATGAGACAAAAGAAATCGTAATACCGAAGAACAATATAGTTTCGTGGGAAATAATAAGTCACAAGGAGTGGATATATCTGCGCCAGCCATTGACAACGATTTTGAGCCATATCACCAACAGTTTCCAACCATTGGATTTTGCCGTCCCGATTACCCCAACCAGTCAGGAAGTCTACATCTCCCTACGTGACTGGCTGGGTTAAACTAACTGTTGTGGATTTCATTGACTGGTTAGGCCATGTTTTGGTTTCACCACCACTAGCTATTTTCCAGCCTGACAGCTAACATGGCCTGTTGTCGAGGAAGGCGATGACTAGGCATACGTAACACATGCCCCTAACCATCTCAGTCGAAGTAGCTTCACAGTCTCGTCGGTCGATTTTCCCTCCTTACCCACCTAGCACTCGACTGACGCCTAACCTCAATAATGCTCACCTTATTATACCACTTCACAGATGAGACAGAACGCACGCACCTATGATCAAAGATAGCTAGCTAATCTTTTAATGTCCTCTACTCTCAGCGTCGGTGGTATAGCGGTTAGGACGCTCGCCGACCATACACGTGGTCCGGGGTTCGACCCCCGGCCGGCGCACTCCCTTACCTCACTGAGCCAGAAATAATGCTGGTAAAGAGGAAAGGTTGGGCATGAGGCTAGCAACCCCATCCTGTAAAAAAAATTAAAAACACTGCTACAGAAACTTCAGGCCACTAGCTTGGAGCCCTATGTTCCACTGGGAACGTGAAGGAAAAATTATTTATTATTATTATTACTCTCAGTGGCCAGGTCTCACGCCTAGTCATGAAGGAGGACGGAGGGGACTTCTGAGCAATACACACGCCCTTTGATCGATGGCCAGCCGGATATCGCACATACGCCAGAAACGGCGTAAATTGGAATATGCGAAACTAGCCCTCTGTATCCGTTCTCAGCTGAGATTTCGTCAGAGATCAACCCGTTGGCGTTGGCTGATGGTACTTCCCAAATAGGTGAAGCGGTCAACGTGCTCTACTACTTCACTCCCTATTTCTAAACTGGGAAACGTGAAGGCATAAGCCTTGATAAATGAGCCTGAATTCGAACTCTCTCTCTCCGCGTACCTATTATCTGATTCAGATTTGCCGCCTAACGTGTAAAACAACATCCTCTGGTATCATAAATCAGACACACCTTAGATATTTCAGCCAATCCCACTGACAGGATAAAATAAAAGCTGCACATCTAAATTACTTAGTTTTCACACAAAAAATGTCACTCACTGTCTTTTAAGCAATCCATATGAAAGAAGGAAAGGAAGAAAAAAGCTTCCACACGTACCTACTTTATGTGTGCAGCCAAAAAAAGAGGAGAGAAGAAATAAACGCCTACTTGTAAAACGTCATTTGAAGTACACAACACTACTACTCTTTTATATAACTAAAAGAAACTGATTTCTAACGTTAATCGATATGCATGTGTGAGTGGTGTTCAGGCTGAAACTCTATAAATGAGATCTTTACGCACACACACAAAAAACTATTGCATTTGGGTGTATGTGTTACAGAGAAACAAATAAAGCAGAAGCATAAAGAAAACTGTTACATGCACATACACACAAACATTGAATATATTATCATCAAAATACTTTGTAAATGAGCTTATCCAATTGAGATTTTGATTAATTAAAAGTTCATACTATCGCATATTATAACCATTTCAATGAATCATATATACGTGCAAAAACATGAGTGTATTAACTCAATGAGACTTAGTGCTTATCACAAAATATGTTGAGTTGAAAATAAGCTAAACAAATTGTGACCAAGAATATAAGGTCAACCAACTTGATACCGATATCCAGTTTGAAAACCTACTCCTACAAAACAAAAGATTTGATCCCAACGTCAGACGATGAAGTTGCTAGGTTTAAAACCTCACTAGTCACTTATTATACCGATGTTCAAGAAGGGAAACAAGTCCTCGTGTGATAATCATAGTTTCTAAAATCCTAGGCTCAGTAATCATGCATAGACTAAGCAGAACTCGGAAAGAACAAACGAGGGAAAATCAAGCAGGCTTTAGACCAGGTAGAGGGTGCATAGATCATATCTTCACTCTCCGACAGATAATAGAACATTGACACACTCTTCGGCGTTCAACAATTGCCATATTTCTGGACTTGAAGGCGGCCTTCGACTCCGTGGATCGAAAGGTACTATGGCAATTTTTGAATGTGAAGGGAGTGCCAAGAAAGTACATTGCACTAATCAAGACACTCTATTCAAACTCACGTAGTCGTGTAAGGGCTTATGGTGAATTTTCATCTGAAATGATAACAACCAGTGGTGTCCGACAGGGATGTCCACTTTCCCCATTTCTGTTTAACTTCATCATAGATATGCTGATGGAAGTATCCTCAACTGAACGTAGCGACTTAGGAATCGACTTGTTATCAGGGAATAGTCTTATGGACTTAGAATATGCAGATGACATAGTCCTGTTAGGGGAGGATTCTGACAAAATCCAGCAGTCTTCTGAACACCTTAAGCAGCAATCTTCGTATGTTTGGCATGCGATTCGCCCTTGCAAAATGCAAGATGCTGCTACAGGACTGGACTACGTCAACTCCTAGCTTAGTGATAGGGAGTGAAGTGATAGAACATGTTGACCACTTCACCTATTTGGGAAGTTGTATTAGCACTAACGGACTGATTGGAGACGAAATCTCAGCACGGATCCAAAACGCTCGAGCTGCTTTCGCTGACTTTCACCATCTCTGGCGTAGGCGTGACATCCGGCTGGCTATCAACCAAGGGACATGTGTACTGCTCAGCAGTTCGCTCCGTCCTTCTCTATGGCTCTGTAACATGGCCAATACGAGTTGAAGACATGAAAAGGTTGACTGCTTTCGATCATAGATGTCTGCGATCTCTGTCTCACGTTAGGTGGTTTAATAAGGTAAGTAATGTTGACGTTAGGCGTAGAGTGTTGGGCAAAGAGGGAAAATCAATCGACGAGGCTATAAAGTTACATGGACTGAGATGGCTAGGTCACGTGCTGCGCATGCCTAACCACCGCCTCCCCCGACGACGGGCATTACTAGCTGATACAGGTGCAGGTTGGAAAAGAGTAAGTGGTGGCCAAACAAAAACATGGTCTCATCAATCCATGAAATCCTTGACAGTTAAACTGAGTCGGTCAGGTAGGGAGATGCAGACTTCCGGGTTTGGGCCCTCGGGACTGACTCTAGGAATCAATGGCTGGAGACAATAGGTGACATGGCTCAAAATCGTTGTCAATGGCCAGCGCAGATGTATTCAGTCTCTGTAATCTTTCACATTCGTTTCTACCATTACCCATTCTGTTTCGCTCTTATACTTGTCAAACTATTGATTCTCTTCGCTCATCTTCTTGTCTACCTTTTTGTGCTATTTGGAACGTGGCGACTCGAACTTCTGCACTTCGGTGCCAAGTTCTCTGTTGAATCCAGACAGAGACAGACACTAGTCGACAGCTGCCAGTAGTACAAAAACAGTAGTCATTCTAGTAAAAGTTTGCTGACTAAACAGCATTGAGAAGCCCTAAGAAAGTTAAGGAAAGACGAAAACATTATAATCAGTAGACCTTATAAAGGAGCCGGAGTAGTACTGATGAATAAGTGCGATTATGTAGACAAAATGAATACGCTTCTAAACGCTTAGCAACCCGACAGATATAGACGGAAAAGCTGAAAAGCAGTTAACTAACACGCTTAAGGAGCTGAGAAAAAGTGGAGTAATCTCAGAGGCAGTCTACAACCGTCTTAATCCTTCTGGAAGTAATGCTTCACGATTGTATGGTCTGCCCAAAGTACGTAAATTAGGACTTCCTCTTCGCCCAGTCCTAGATAGGTCTAATTCCGCCAACCATGGAGTGGCAAAGTGGCTAGGTGAACTCCTCCAACCGTTACACAAGAT